GGTTTAGAAATCCAGTGTTTAAGGTGACAATAGGGACTGGTTAATCCAGATTTGGAGAGAAGACTGGTAAATTTTAAAAATTTAGTTGCTTTTAATGGAAAATACGTCTTTGTTAACCAGTTTTAGACAGAGCAGAGTTAGCCTCTCCATTCTTGCAATGTGCAACTTGTTTAATTGGAACAGAATCAGACATTGCTTGTTTACCATCAGTATTAGAAGGATGTTAACTGAATCAGCACAGGGTCTTGCTTGTCTTTGGAATTTTTTGTAAGATCTCATAACTTTGACGATTTTCTGCAATCTAGTAATGTACCACTAATGCAAAGTTGTTCATGTAAGTCAGTTTTTGAAAAAAACATATTGAAGGCTTAGGAATAATTCCAGTGCATCTGAAGATATGTTCAGTGTTGAAAACGAGAGCTGGGTCTCATTGCAGATACGTGTAAAACTAGCTCTTGGATCATAAGCAGCATTGGTCTCATTCTAGTATTTTACTAATGTGGTTTAGACGGTTTTACTAATCACGCTGCACTAATTAAATTCTTACGTTACAGATTATAGGAAGTTTAACTTTTGTTTTTTTAAATTGGGAAAGTGTCATGATGGGAAAGCACGTGGATACATGATTTCTCAGGAGACTAGGTAGTCTATTATATTGTATGAATATATATCTACTCACCCTTGCCTCCTCCTCTTCCCCCTCTTTCCTCTGCAGAGTGTCTCGGATATATTACAGAATTACTTAGTTTCATAAACTGGGTTATGAAAGGCAGTGGGGGTGCTGCATGTGTGGCAAGCTAGGTCATGCGGGATTTATAAGAAGGACTGCCTGGGTCCTGCTAGTTCTTCAGTGTGTATGAGCTGTGCAGCTACCGCTGATGTTCTTTACCTCTCTGTGCCTCATCGTCTGTTAATGCTAGTGTAGATTTAATTTCTGTAACGGGGATGTTAAAGCTTGGCTGAGGTTGCAAGTGCTCACGGTGTTTCTAAGATGATTTGGAAAATTAAGCACTATATGGTAAAATACTCCAGCGTTAGTCTGAAAGACTTTTCAGCCAAAGAAAAACATCCTTGCTTAGATGGGGAGATCTCTGTGTCCCCCTTTCTCTTAATTGCCTAAAAAGCTGTATGGAACAGGAGGGAAAAAGCAGCTCTTGAGCATGCTGTGTCAGTTGTCCAGAAGCTCTTAAAAGACTCTTTTTTGGCTTTAGAAAATAAAACCTTGGGAAGGTTAAACAGAGTAGAGTTGGGACGCAGCAGTCCTTTAGAGGTCTTTCTCATCAAAGATAAAAGCATTTCAAGGAGCATGCTTGGAGCAGCTTTCTCTTATCTCTGGGGTGCTCTTGAGTAATGTTGAGGAGAGAGGGATGGCCAACAGTGGCACGTGTTCAGCAGCAGTTGTGTTCCGTCTGTAAGAAGTTTCAGAAGTACAGAAGAGCAAGGAATTGAGACAGGGGTTCTAAGTTATTCAGGACTTGAAGCAGAGCTTATGAACACAGTATGAAGAGGTGCCCAATACCTTTGCAGTGTATGGGTTTGAACATTAACATTTCCATTACTGATCTAGTCTTCTTTAACAGCATATATGTGAAGAAACCTAACAAGGTGAACTGTGTTTCTAGTGGAGGGCTGGGTTTTTTTTCTATGGAGACTGCAGTTTGACCCAGAGGTAGGGATTTAAGTTACAGCTGAAATTTTCTGGGCAGCTTTTATTACACTCTGAAATTCAAGCAACCTTTTGCTCTAGGGAGTTTCTCTCTGCCCCACCCACAACCAAAGCAGTCAGTGATCCAGAGAAAAAGTTTATTACGGTCTGAGGGGAAGTAAGTTATTTGCACAAGGCAGCCGCTCACCATGGTCTGCTTTTTCTGCTCACAAAGAAGTAACTTAAAACGTCTTTTCCTGGTCCTACTTACTTGGTTTGGGATTTGTTGTTGTGAAATGTCACTGACATCTCTCTGTTGCTGATAGATGGATGGTCAAAAGGACAAGGATGACGGCAGTGTCTGTAGCCAGAATGCTCTCTGGCTCCAGCTCATGTCTGGGTACCTTTTTCAGGATTAGCTTTTGTTATGCTGATGAATAGTTGGTTCAGAACTGCACTATTTTTTACTTGGAGCCACATAGAGTTTCTCAAATATATGGGTTGCATTAAAACTTGTTTGCTGTGAAGCTGTTAGTCTTTATTTGAAAACTCACAAAGAAGCGAACTCAAACCCTGTTGCATCGGTTTTCAAACACTGCTTATTTTTTAATGCCTTTTTAGAAAAATGTGAGTTACTGATAATCTGGTAGGGGCTGGTTAGTTTATTCTGAATACTTACTGCAGCAGCACACTGAGTTAAATTCTATGTCTGTAGGCTACAGCAATATAGAGGGAACAATGTACTGCACAAAACAAATTTATCCTTAAAATATTTTGCATTCATTCTTAGTTGAATAGTTTCTGCTGGTTTTGGTATCATAAAAACATGAATATCCTTTCTGAAACTGTGTTTTCTTATTGAAATAGATAAAGTAAGTTCACAAGATCAGGAATTCTTACTTAATTTAAAACAGCAACAATAAAAAGTCTCATAGGTTTTGCAGCTATTTCCTAGAGAGATGTTGAGTACTGCAGGTGGTGCTTTGATTATTGTTTTTGGTTTTAACACAACCCTTTCCCCTTACACCCTTCTCCTCTCTCCAGTTTAAAAAAAAGCCCAGGAAGCAATGAATTTAAGAAAGATAAAGCACAGGTATGTCACTATCCACTTGAAGGTAAACGAAGATGTTTCAGACCCCTTGTGTGCACTGATATATTATGGAAATAATGATAAAACTTGAGTCTCAAGAAGTCAAAATCTTCTGGACAGACTTATATCGTCATGGCAATTTTTACTCAGCAGGAGCTCCTTTGCAATTGTAATCTCTGCTGAATGCAGTGCGTCCTTTGTGAATTTGCAGATTTTTTTTTTTTATTTTATTTTATTTTGGTTGCAAACCGGTCTCAGCCCAGTGCGAAAGATCTCGGGGTATGATATGACTCTCTCTTCATAATTGCTTCTGGGTTGTCCTGTAGCAGTTGGTATATCACCATTTAGTTTGAGGGCACATCTTTTACCTCCAGGCACAGGGCCCTCTGCCAGGGTAGGCCACGCTCTGGCTGTCCTGCACTAAAGCACTGTTAGCTATTTCATGCTGTTTGTTGAAATATGTGCAATAAAAGTGCTTGTGACTGAAGAGCACCTGTCTGTAGCTGGATGTGGGAAAAAGGGCTTGTTTTTCTGTATAAATAAACATAAAATCACTTGGCCTCAGATGTTAGTTCTCCTTCATTTCCCTGTGTGAAAAATCACAAGCACACTTGTATTGTGGGAAAGGGATGCCCACACCGAAGCACTGAAGTGGCATTGCTTCTCTCTTAAAGAGAAGCCTACTTGGCTATTTAATAATCTTGTATTCTGCCACAGTCATATTGCTTTCATTGAGAGCCGCAGAAGTTGTTCCATAATGTTTTCTCTTAATTCCCTTCTTTCTCTCCTTGGGGAAGAAAGTGAGTGTCAGTCTTGTTGATGTTTATGTGCTCAGAGAGAAAACTTATCATCGGTTAATATTAACATTGGCTAATATAAAAGGAGTTACACTTTCTACTTCTGAAAATGATTTACAGTTCATCAAATTTTGTTGTCTGGCATTTTGTGATCTTTATCCTTTCCAGTTCTCCTTGCCAAAAGGGTATTTTTAAAGCCTCAACATGCTTTAGTACTTCTAAGACTCCTAAGTGAGCCTTGGATCCTGCCACTTAAATTTTTACATAGTTGTTGTGTGCTTTCAAAGTAGCGTTAGTTTCAGGTATCAGAAATACATCCATGCAGGCCTGTCCATTGGGCTTGGAGAGGCCAAGCCAGTGTGGCACCAGACTCAGCTCTTCGGATCTGTAATTGCCGCGGTGTTCCAGAATCCTTTCATATATCTGTAATATATAAAGCCAGCTTTGTAGTTAAAAGTAATTTGGTTTTACATGAATGTTAATTTTTCTCTAACTTCCCAAACTCTAGTAGACGGGGCTGAAGCATGATCTAGCTTCATACAGTTAAGATATGGAAGAGGTTGTACAGTTACTCAGTTGGCTGGTGAGAGAATGAAATTGTTAGCAAAAGGGAGCACTCTGCTGTCAAATCTTCTATCACAGCTACTGCACTCTATCACCATAATTATGTTTTTTCAAATGCAAATGATAGTTTTAAGAATTCTTCCTTTGGTACATCATTTACAGGAGCAGTTTGGTTCGTATTTCTCAGTTGGAGACAAATCTCATCAGAGGCTAAGGACAGGAGATTCTCACCCATTTTGTTTATACCCTTTTCTCTGAAGCGATTTATTAGGTCAGAATACAACAAATTGTAGGGTCATATAAAGAGGCTCCTTCAGTAGAGCATTTTGTTGATTAAACTGCTGTTACTGCTTCTCATCTGAGGAGTGCAACCTATGTGTAGCAAGAAGGGAATGCTGGAGCGGTGGCAGAGAGACCTGTTGGTCCCTTGTTCTCAGCCACTGCATATTTTGAATCCCTACGAAAAATGGCAGGGCCCTAGATTCAATTTTATTGTTGTTCTTTAAGGTAGAGAAATATAGGTTGTGTTGGGTTTTGGGAGTGGGAAAAGCTTAACCCAGTCATTTGCAAAACCGATTTGATATATTCAGAGAAAATGTTCTTTCTATTCCTGCCTCCTCCTCTCCCCTTGACACAAGTACATCAATAACATTTGTACTTTCAACTTTAACGTGTATCACTTTTTGGCATTCTGTTTAATGATCACTGACCTTGAGAGATTACATCCACAAACCTGCCAAATTCACAGCTACAGTACAGGTGTACTGTCAGTTTTTATTAAAAATTTCTGTCTTTATGTCAAGTAAAATTTGGTATTCCAAATTACTGGTGTTCAGCGATTGATGGCATTTTTATTTATTTTCTTCTCTGCTCTTTTTCTTCCATATCCTCTCTGCTTCTCCAGGTATGAAGATGAATAATGCAGACCACTGGTTTCGATGATGCTGGGCTTTTATAACTGGATTCATTAAGGAATACAAAGAAAATTCTTACAGGGATCAATAATGGTGTCTTCTGGCTGCAGAATGCAAAGTTTTTGGTTTCTGCTTGTTATCAGCTTCCTGCAGTGTACTGAAGGTAAGCTATAAGTTTTTTTTCACTTGATTTTGCAGATAAGATGAGTGGTCTGTGCAGTTAATTTCTGTTAAATGACTTGAAGTTTTAGGATGTCAAATTAGAAGTACCTGTAGCATGTTCTAGGTTTAATTTTTAAGAATCAAATTCTCTTTTTTCATTGAAAAAAGGAAATACATTTTTTGGTTTTGATACATACAGTGTGGTATGTTGAAGCTGAAATGCAGTGTTCAGGCAATTGAAGTGACAGTATTAATATCCTTGATTGATAGGTGCCTTATTTTTGGACTCATCCTGTTTATATTTTTTATTTTTTATCCTCATTGCACAATCATTTAGAAACAATGTTTAGGTATGCTAAATGTGGTATAAAGCAACTAAACAGAGCGGATACCTGTTTTACCTTTCTAATTTGTTTGGCTGAAAATAAAATAGCAAACACTTCATTAAGATTAGAACTATGCAAAATTTTCAGAAAATAAAACTCAAAACTGCATACAGAAGTAGCATCTACTTAATTTTTGCTTTAAAAATGGGGAAATACTTCACTGCTATCAAGTGTGGTGTTTAAAATGGCTTTTATATGAAAGAGATGAGGAAGGAAAAGGCTTCTTTAAAAAATTGCATCATCTACTCTTTATCTGGTTTTATTCATAAACTCTATTTTATCCAGTTAGTCTGTCTCCTCATCTGTTCTGAACATGAAGAAGTCTCATTTCACTTAAATAGCTTTAAGAGCCAGTTCACCTTCCCTTCCCCCTTTCTTCTTGGATATCGTCAGGATAAATTATAGAACTGGCATTTCCCACAGCACACTGCAGATTTTGGGATGGTTTCATCGTTGACGATTTGATAGCAGCTGTACTGACTGTACTGCTTGTACTGCTGTACTGACTGCTCTCTTGGTGTCTGTTGAGTCTGTGGACTTGGGTATAATCTCACTTTCATAGGAAAGTAAGTGCCATCAGCCAGGAGGTAAAATGTGTTTCAGCCTCTTTCACAGGTAAGGAAGGTAAATGCACATTAGGAGAATGGAATTACAGCTCTTATGACTGGCAGGTTAGGTAATAACTTGTGTTAATTATAAATGCTCTCACATTGCTGAAGTGGTTACGCTAGTTGAAACCAAAGGTGTAGGAAGTAGAGGCATCTATGCTTTTTCTGAAATTTTAAAATACTAAGTTTCAAATCCCTGTATGTAATACATTTGACAAAGATTCATGTGCTTACAGTTAATGCTGTGCTGTGGTTGAAAACATTTGAAAGCAGAAAGGAAAAACAGGCAAACAACTTAATTTCTCTGGTTTGATTACAGTAGCAAACAGCATGGTGCAAAGAGCGTTCTGTGTGCTGAGTTTGGAAAGGAAAAAGTCAGCTGAGAACTTCTGCAGATTGAATTCTTGCTATTTGCAGGAAGCTAATTTTCATTGTCATCTGTAATATTTCAAGTTCATTTTGTTCTCTCCCTGTTTTTCTTGCTTTTAGTAGCCAGTAGCAATCTTTTGATGCTTCAGTTGTGAATTTACTTTTTTAAAGTCTATACAAGAGCTGCTTTTTCAGCTAAAAGAAACAGGAAAGGAAATTGGGAACAGATAACAGAATCATACCAAATTAATTGTAAATTCTTAAAATAAATGAAATACGGTGGCTCTGTATACTGAAAATGAATATTAATATAGAGTTGGCTTCCAGCCACAGAAGCAAAATGAATACCGCATTATTACACTTTCTCACAAGATTACATTGCCTTCTGCTTCAGTAATAAGAGATGCCAAGTGTAACGTGCTTTAGTAGCACTTCATGCCTGGAAGTACGAACATGAACAAAGGTTAAAATAAGAGCATCTAACTTTTGCTAGAAATAAGGAAGTCTTTAGTTCTCTTACTTGGAACTTCGGGATTTTTATAGACATTTTATGTGTGTATGGAGGTTGTTGCAGTTAGTGGGGGAGATGAAACCTGGCTGAATTCCCTGCTGTTACATTTTAATGTTTCTGTAGAGTTAAATAGGGGGAAGGGGGATGGAGATCCTGGGTGTGGACAAGTGATTCATTTGTTCATATAATGAGACATTTTCCAATCAAGCTAAGTCTCATTACCTTCAGAGTGCTTTAGCTTTAACTCACCAGGGAATTAGCAAGCAGCACAGTTATCTGAAGGCTGCAATTTTATTCTAGTGTTACCTGTCCAAACAGGAATACTATCTGTGGTTAAGAAATTCTTGGTTTTGCTTTGGTTTCCTTGGCCAGCACAGTCCAGGTGGGGTTGCTTTTGAAGCAGTCCCTTCCTTCAGGTAAAATGAACCTGAAACAGATGAATGCTGGAAGCTGGAGGGGAAAACTGCACCGAGTTGTTATACAGTGGTGATGCATGGATCAACAATAGGTCAATGTTGTTGTGTAGAGGCTTGAAAAAAATGTAGAGGCTTGAAAAACATTGTTATTACCATCAACAGCAAGCATTGTAGCCCTAAATAAGGCAAAGAGACAGGAAAAAAGTGAAAAGTTGAAGTCATGAGCTTGAATATTAATATCATTTCTGAAGGTATTTTTCTAGCATATTCTGCTAAAGGTGTCTTTAAAACTACAATGTTGTTATAAAAGACAGATGGAATGAACTACCTTGGAAAGTATTTAGGAGTTACACAGGTGGTTGTGTGAAGTCTAGCCTTGCACCATGGCTGATTGCTTAGGGAATATGGGAGCTCCCACTGTGGCTGTACCATAGTCTGTCCCCATCACATGCCCCATGTTGTCCTGTCTCTCTGGCTTGAATAGGAGGGTGTTTGCGCTCCTGTCTGTCCCGTTCAGCCGAGTCCCACACAGTTCTTTACCTGGTTTCTACAAACTGCAGGAAATTAATTACTTTTGGCAGCACCTCTTCCCCTACCCCCCCTCCTAATTAGGAGAAATCATCCAACAAGTTAAAAATTATCTGAGAAAATACAGAAAGTCAGAGGGTGAGATCACACATGCCTTGTTTCCATAGCAAAGCAGAGTAAAAAGCTTATTATACATATTATTGGTTTCTCTTCAAACAAGTTAAGACATACACTAATATGCATATGAAAAAAAGATGTCAGAGCTAAACATTCTGATTAGGATCGACTTTTGGACTCTACAAGTTTTGATATTTTAAGCTTTATCTTGCTTACAAAGGCCACCTTTTTGACTAGCTTTAGATACCTTTTGTTTTTATTGTCTTCTGCTGCTTGAGAACCACAAGTGCTTGGGAAGCACTGGAATAATTTTCTTTCCTTACATTTTATTACAATCAAGGTTTAATTCTAATTCATTCTCTTATGTATTATTATCTATGCTTTGTCCAAAGGAAGAAGCATCATGCTTCCATTATCTGTTTAATTCCATTTATCTAAACGGCATTAATTAAAAAAAAAAAAAAATCCAGCCTGTCTTTGCCTCTGAATGTACATTTTAATTAACATTATGCTGAGAAATATAAATTCCACTTATGCCAGGCAAGGAGCCGAGTGCTAAATTGGTAGCAGTTTTAAGTGTGCGTCCAGTCTTAGTGTATTTGCTAAAAGAAAAGCATACTACATACAGATAATGTACATTGGGCCACTACAAAGGTTTTTGCTCTTTTAGTGCATTGCTTCAGACCTTCAGCTTCCTCTTGAGCCACTAGGAGTGTGTAAAGTATATGGCACAGGTACTCAACAAACTGTAGAAACATACCAGGTTTCCTACACATTTAGTAAGAGGTATTAGTAGGATTTTGCCAGGATAAAAATTGAAAAAATCTTGTACTCTGGAATTGAGAAGAAATCAACTTCTGTTAATTAGTGGATTTAAGTTCTACAAGGGGTGAAACCCATTGCAGAGTCACGTAAGAGCAAATAGGAGCACTAATTTAATTTCTAGCCAGGGAATTTTTCAGAGTGAGAGCTCTGTGAAGCAAAGTTAGTAGGCAACTACTTGCTTTAACAGTGGTTGCAAAGAATCCAAAGCATCCATAAGCATATCTGGCATGCTAAGGACTGCAAATTATTGCCCAGCCCTTGAAGAGTCACTCTTGCAAGCCTTCCAATACTATCTTCATTTTTATCATGTATACCTAATGTGTTTTATGATTTTTTGTTAAATATTTTTTCTTAGTTGGCTAATGCACATTATTCAGAAGGAAATATCTGTGTAAAAGAGAGCAGTTGTATTTCTGCAGAAAGCAACTGCTGCACCAATTCCTATTTTGTTTCCTGGAAGAGCATGCCATTTTTCACTGGGATATTCTGGTACATACTTATCTGGGACATCTCTTTCCTTTTCTGAGGGAGGTATAGGACCAACATATCTTCTAAAAAGGAAATTGATCTCAACAGTGAGACCAAAATTCTTCTTAAAGAAGCATGTCTGTTAAACTTGTCAAGTACATTTCCATATAGTAGAGACTGACAGGCTGCCTGGAAAAGCCAGATTCTTTAGAGTGCCGGCAATGAATATGCTTTCATGCATTCCCTGAGCAGTGAGGTCTGATGGATGCTGCACTGTAACGTTAAATTTTTGAAACCAAAGCAAAACCACCATTATTTTAAAATGTAGAAGAACCATGTAAAAGAATGCGTGAAGAACCATTTTAAATACTTTACTAACTCTTACATGAGAATTTTCAAGGAAGTGTTAATATAATGCTCTTATAATTCAAGCAAGCAAAAGTATAAATGTGTAATTACTATGAGATGAATAATAGTAGTACTATTTTGATACTGTTTTCTTCCGCAGTTATTTAAAAGACATTCTTCTTCATGAGGGGAGATTTTACATCTTCTTCAGCTCTGTATTCAGAGGAAGAAAAGAACCCTATAACATGTAGAACGATAGAAATAGTGTCTTGTGCTAAGGGCAAATGTTATATTTTTCAGAGCCCTCTAAGCTATTACTTCAGTTTGCTATCTTTCGTTGCTGTAACCTCCGTGTGTCTCAGTGGGTGAGGTGAGCCATGCATCTGACCACCGCAGTGAGAGCGGATTGCTTTAACCTTCAGCTA